AATGAGACTGCAGGAGAGCTCACCAATGAATTGTATTTTTCATCTTAGAAGGCAATTTTCTAGGTTTGCATGTGGCATATTATTAGCACAGAAACATGTCATCATTAAAATTAGCATTGATGCAGTTTAAATAAGAGAAATAAAAGTTTTTAAAAAATTAAGTCACATTTGTTTGTTTTTTTCTCAGATTTGCCTATATATGCTTTCTCACATTTCCAAGGTATAATTTTTCATTAAAAAACTCTGCAGAAAGAGATGATATATCATTGAATAAACAAACACTACCTATATGATCTTAATATTTTGATTTTATGATTATTGAATGCCATTGGTTTTAATATTTTTCATTTTTCATTTCAGTTCTTCCAAGGCAATGTCTGGCAACTGCATTCTAACATAAAGCTGTGTGAGTTTTCCACTTTGAAATTTTTACAGTATTGTTTTAGTTTACATGTTTTGTTATTGGGTACTTTTCTGGACTACTTCCATCCAGAGGGTCTCAAACACTGAAATGAGGCACTAATTTAAATATATATGGTACGATATACTGAAAGGAAACCAAAACGAAACAGTAGCTAAGCTTAAATCTTGACTGTCACTATTTTCTTTTACTCATTTGAGACTATTTTTCCTGATCTATAAAATAGCAGCTTTCTAAAGATGTCTAGGGTTAAATGAGTCTGCATCATACAGCAAAATGCTTGGCCCAAAGGAGATGTTCAGTAGATACTAATATCCTTCTCTTACATTCTTAAGAGGTCAGTGGGCAGCATAGGAGTTAGAAGTCTTAAGAGGGTAAGAGTTGGCAGAGTGGTATACAAGGAGCAGAGGATTAGGGATGAGAAACCTTGATTCCTACCAGTTAACGGCTTAAAACTGGACAAGCTGTATATCCAAAACAACTACAGGTCTCTCCTGGAACTCAAAAACACCTTCTAGATTGTTCACATGTATGCAAATTATCTAATCACTACCACCAAAACAAACAAACCAACAAACCAGAAACAAAACCCTATGAGATTTCTAAATGATTTACAGAAGTACTCGGTTTCACTGATGGACATGAGGACAATTCCTGAAACAATGAATAGTCATCTTGTAATTGAAGGAGAAAGAAAAAGAAATTCTGTGAGCTAAGATTGCACAGATACCAATGTGTTTCATATGCCTGAAATGGCACACATGTTCGTATTTTCCAAGGGTTGGGGGGTGGAGATGATAAAAGATTGCTCTAACTCATGTTGCCTAATACCTGTCATAACTCCCAAAGTAGAACTAGAGATCTCTCTTCATCTTGAAAATAGGAATCAGGTTAACAATTATAGTGTTCTCACAAGCTTTCTCTGCCATCATTAAAAGTTAGCATATAGTCAGAGGGATAACACATAGAGTCCTACCCTATAGTCAGAGGGATACAAACAAAAATAAAAACAAAACCACAACGGTTTGTACTCCGAGAAAAAATAAACGCATAAAGTAGAGCCACTTGTCTAGCACTAGCTCCTCCTTCCCAAAATGAAGTCTTTAGACTGTTCTTATAAATTACTCCCCAATGAAAATGTATGCAGTGCCTCACTGACATCTGCTGCATGGTCATCATGTATGAGAGCTACTGTTTGCTATTTTTTTCCTATTAATAGACTACCTATAATTTCACAACCTTGTTGTTCTCTAAATATTTGTTATATATTTTATTTGTAGAGTCAGTTCTAACATCTAGATATCTTTGCAAACTTTTGAAAGTACTAATTCTTTCCTTCATGACTTTGTCTTTGAGCCTTCCTTTCACAGAAATAAATAAATGAGATAAGGAATTTTGTATTCACAATGCTCTACACGTAGTAAGCATTCACTACTAAGTGCTCATTACTCAAAGTGAAAAGGGCCATAATCATAATGTGTCTACAGTGCCATTTTAGTAAAGATGGAGCAGAAAGTAACTAGACCTTGGGAAATCTTTATAAGTCAGGGGGGAAATATGAACTGTGTATGCAAGAGAGAAATACAAGAGACAGAAAGAAAGAAGGAAGGGAGGCGAAACAGGAAGGAAGGAAGGACTACGTTTAGACAAGCTTTTAAACAAAAATGGAAAGGAAACCCCAGGGAGAGGCATGGAGAAGCAAGGAGTCTGAGGTTGTTATGATAACTCTATTTTCTTTGTCATTATTCCAGCAAAAATGATGGGATACTGTGTGAGTATAGGTTTTGCTCTAGAGACAGTAGGTTGTCTTTATCAGGATGGTCAGCTAGTATTCAATTAGAATAAGGCAACACTGTAGAGGCAGCCACTACAAGCGCTTCAGTTGTCTTTATTTCTGATCAAAAGTAGATGCTTCATTAATTAGTATGGTGGATGTTAGAAATCAAGTTTCATTGCTAAAATTAATGGCTTTTTGCTAAGTATAATGAATCTTGGAAATGGACCCTCCCAAGGTGAAATCAATGCCAAATAGTCTCCCTCTCCCAGTCTGATACAACAGCTAAAATTGTTGAGATTTGGAGTCAGTTAGACCTGGGTTTAAATTCTGTCTTTCTGGTTGTGTGATACTTTGAGTATCAATAAAGTAGTCAACACAGCATTTGTTACATGATAAATATTCAATAAACGGTCAATGAATCTATTAGGATATCACCATAGCAAGATACTACTTCACATTATTAGCTGAGCATTTTTCCCCCTGTTCTTCACACTCTGCCTTTGCTTCCTTCCAAGAGTATTTGATGTATTCCCCTTTCAGAAGGAGGTAATAAGACGGTCAAGGTAAAAAAGACATTGCTCAGCTTTGACTTTCAAATTACATTTTTAACCCTCTTTGGGTGCAACTGATCTCACAGATTATTTTGAATTTCTGTTGATTTTTATACTGAATTTATGTAATACACATATATGTTTTTACTTTGTGGCAAATTAAAATTTCATTCTGAATAAATTATAAGCATGCTTATGTGTTATTTTCATTCATTTTCAATTTAAATAAATAAATGTCGTACATGCATCTAGTAGATGCATTGTGCCTGAACTCATAACTTTTGCATTGCGCCCGACAGAGGGTTAAAAGGCAAGTCAAGAATATGAAAAGCCTGGGGTCTCTTCTTAACAGTTATCTCTTCTTTGGAAGATGAAAGGACTTGAGGGAAAACTAGAAGGAATGGTGACTTGATGATGTCAGAGAAATTCTCCACTACTGTAAGAGAGAAGGTCATTTAATTTTTCAACCGTTACAGCATGTGTAGAAGGAAGGACCCCAGGGGGTGTGGCTAGGGTTCAGAGGTATCTAAAGCATCCAGAATCTTCTACCATTCAGAACACGACAAATAAAAACTGCACTGCAAATTGATAGTTGAGGTAAAATCATTCATGTCATACAGAACACAAAATAAACATATTCGAAACAGGGTTAATAGATAAAGTGGGACTTGTTTAGGAAATCTGCTTTTTCAAGTATTTTCTATTGTGCTCATTGTGCAAATGATAGCAGATATTTAGATTATACTGAGCATACTAGCTTTTTAAAAGGTTAAACCTAATAGAGATGTAGTATTCAATAAAATAACGGTTTTGGAAATAGACCTATTTTCAAATCCCATCTTGGCCAAGTACAGTAATACTGTTATCTTCCTCAGTAAGCCATTTAACCTCTGGGAGCCTCAGTTGCCTTATCAGTAAAATGAAGATTATAACATTGACCTCAGAATTTTTTGAGGCTTAGCAAGAATGATTTTGAGAATGCCTCGCACTTCGCTTGGTACCCATCATTCAACAACAGCTCTGACGTTGGCCATTTTTTCATCTCTTGGAAGCAGTAGCAAAACAAAACAAAATAATAACTTGTATGAACAGGCAAGAAAGTTAGGAATAAAGAACAAATGGGCAAATCAGCACTTAAAAATTAAAAACAAAACAAAACAAAAAAACCCACAACAAAAAAACCCAGTTTTGCTGCAGCACAGACTTAGCCCTAATGGGAAGGGGAGGTTAAACAGAGAGGAGTGTTAGGGATGCTGAATAAACAGCTCCTCTTCACAAATCTGACAACCTACAGTTCTACCTGTGGATTTATTCCAGAGGACCCTGGAAATGTGGTAACATGGGCAATTTCTTCATTTCCCTTAGTACCATTTAGTGCAAAACTGACAGTCAACAGAAAAAAAAGTTTATAAATATGATCAAGAAACCTTTGTCATCTGCACTATTTATTGTCTTCCTATATTGCAAGTTTATCTTATATGTGAATCACTTTCAAATGAGCAAAAAGGAAAAAAAATCTTAAGTCCTCTAATGGGTGCTTTAAGGAGCTCAATTTTTAGGACCCCAAATTTGTCTTAGGTTTTACACATATTCATGACTGACCAGAGGCAAATAATAATAACTGTTTCTATGAAAACATTATTTGCTTGTACAATTTCAGTAAACCTATTAGATGTATTATTATGAAAACAATGCGCTTGTGCACTTTTCCTATCTGTTGGTCCACACTTGGAATAAAAATTAGCTTGTCTAAATATAGCTAAATAAACAGGATTGAAAAGACTGCTGGATGAATTTGAAAATATTCAGTAGTTTATTATGACTTATCAGTTTAAACAACGAACACATTGAGATTCACCTCAAACTACTAGGCGAGGGAACACAATTAAAAGAGACACTCCTTACCTATAGAAAAGGAAAGCTGGACTGTCAGTACTGATTACAAGGGGAGAGAAAATGAATACACTGATAGCATTGCAATCAGCATTTATAATTCGCAAGTGCTGCTTGGAACAGGACTCTAAAAAGGGTAGGTGTTGCTTTACAATTTTCAAAGGCAAAGACCGACTGACTTCAAAGCATCACCCATATAGTGCCATATAAAAGATGAATTTACAAACCGAACACTGAAAGATTATAAGAGCTGCTGTCAATGGTTATGCAGGGAACTTTTCTTCCCCCTCAATAAAACAAAGACAGGAAACAAAAAAGACTATTCAGAAAGAACATTAAAAGAAGGAACTCATCTTACCTCCATCCAGCTCCTCAGCACCAAAATGATTCCTGTAGAAGAGCATGATTTCTATTTTGTAACACTTGTAGATGGTCACCAAACAAACAAGCAGCAAAAGGATCGCACCAAGCCCTCCAGCAAGTTCAACTGTGTACATCAGCTCTAGGGGGGAAAAATCACAAGAGAGAATTATACCATATTCACATTCAAAATCATAAATTCAACTCGATTTCACATTTTCATGGATGAGACCAGATGTGGGCAATGGATTAGCACAACCCCTTCCCTTTTTTGCATGAAAATTTGACCTTTTCCATAACTTTTTCGCTTTGTTTCCTTGGTAGCCACGAGAGGTGGTATGTGGTAACAGTTGCTAAGCAACATTGCTTATGGTAAAAATGAACCTATGTTGGTAGATGGCATTTGGACTGAGAACTATAAATACGTGATTGGAAACGATATTTGTGAACTTTCCTGAATGCAGTAACTCTTATATACAAGCATATCCCTCGTAGGAATCCTGCAAGTTATGCTTAAAGGGTTGATGAAAGAAATATTGGTTCCTGTTGCTATGAAACTTTTAAGTCCGGATGGCTTCTGAATTCACCCAGTGTGAATCTTTATCCTTCTCACTTGAGCTGTCACCTGGGGGTTGGGGCTAAGGGGAGGGGAGGGGTCTAACAGCACAGTGTTTGAAGGGCAGTGTAAACTGTTGCTTAGAGTGTTGGGTGGACCTCATAATCCATACTGTCTGCTGGCTTCTGCCAGGAGTAAGGACTCCTGTCCTACATCTTTCGAAATAAAGTGGGGCCAACGTGGCCTACCATAGTCTTGGAGGCTGAATGCTTACTTGGGTTTAAGGAGTAAGCTACTTAGTGGATGTCACACCAGACTATATTGGTATTATTTTCCTTTCACTAAGCTACTTCCAGTTTTTTCTTTTCCTTTGTTTCCCCTTTTACTAGGCGTGTTACTACATTTTATCCTAATAAGGGGTTTTCTTGTTCTTCGCTGTATATCAGTTCTCTTATTCCTATTAAAGATCCATGTTACATCAAAAAACTACCAGGCAATTTTGGGGATAAAATACTCACTGCTTTTTCCTCCTTTAGAACTCATGGACATTGTAACAAATTCAAGGCTACTGGTATTTATTTATTTTAACTTTTTTTTATTGGGGAACAATGTGTTTTTTCGGGGGATAATGTGTTTCTCCAGCACCCATCAGCTTCAAGTCAAGTTGTTGTCCTTCAATGTTAGCTGGGGAGGGCACACCTCAGGTCCAAGTCCAGTCACCATTTTCAATCTAGTTGCGGTGGGGCACAGCTCACTGGCCCATGTGGGAATCACACCAGCAACCCTGTTGCTTTGTAACCAACTGAGCCACCCGGCCGCTCCCAAGGCTACTGGTATTGAAACATTAAGCCAGAATGCACAGATTTTGAGACTCACTTTAACTAAGTGCCTGCATATGCATGTTGTCCTTGATCAAATAATCCAAATGTTGTGATTGATGGGTAGCCATTGCTCCCTGCAGTTGACGACTACCTTGAAAAGTACTAGTTTCCTTAATTACCATTACAGATAAATATTCCTGAAATTATGTCTCTAAAATAATGGTGCCTTTGATTCTGTAATTTAGACTCCACCAACGGATTATTTAATTTTGCAACACAGTCAATGCAGGCTTAGACTGAGAACTTTAAAATGATATATGATTTTGCATTGACAACTACTCTTGGGTTACAAGATCCTTCCTGAGACCTTGAAATGGGGTGAAATCATCTTGGGTGCAGTGCAGCATCAGTGATAAATAATCTGAAAAGCATGGCTATCATTTTCTCACAAGGACATTTTGTGTGTGTTTGCATGTGATGTCACTTTTCCTGTGATAATTGCAGAAAAAACCTTATACTTCTCATTATCTAGTCTTTCATTTTCTAATTCAACAGTTTAATAAAAAAAACCCACATATATAACAACTGGATAATCAAGTGTCTTTTCCCGCTCTTACTAAAATTAAAAGGGAAATAGAAGAAAATATAAAAAGTGATTGGACTTTATGAATTGAAGAATGAAACATAAAATGAGCTATTAAATCTTTTAGAGTCTAAGTCAATTAATATGAAGTGTGAAACACTAAAAAATGCCTCCAGGAAATTTTTAGATTTTGTATTTCTAAATATCAGACAGCTTTATCTGCTGACTCTTCTGAGAGGCTACACAAAATAGCACTACAAAAGTACCAGGGATGAAATGTAAAATGCTCTTCCGTATACTGTTTTCCCAATACTATGTGAACAGAAAGGATAAGTGGGTAGATAATCCAGCGGGGTGCATTGAGTCTTGTTCTCTCAGGATATGAGTTAAACTCCACTACACATAGAAGCCTGCATAAAACTCTAACTTATGCCCACAGGTTAATTTATACACCAGAAAACTCTGATATGATTTTTCTATACATGATGGGAAAGATAAGCATTTGCGCTATGGCTTCTTCTAAGATTCATTCTGTTTTCTGACGTAATGTGTTAAACACTTGGAATTTATAACTCTAACATTTCTTGCATGAAAAAAGAAATGGAAAAATAATGGAGAATGCTTAACTTCCATTCCCAAACACTGCTAAGTGGAAGTGTCCAATAGAATTACTGTATCAGAAAACTGATAGGGCAGTTTCTAAAGTTAAATATGAAGCTACCCTGTCAGTAGCAATTACATTCCTAAGTATTTACCCAAAGGAAATGCCAGCAGATGTCCACAGGAAAACCTGTAGAAGAATGTCCAGAGTATAGTTTTATTCATAGTAGCCACAACTGGAAACAACCCAAATCCTCATTAACAGGCGATAATGAATGAACAGTTCATTCATATGCTATGAGCAGAATATACTCATTCGTAAAAAAGAATAAACTACTGATATATGCAACATGTGTGATTCTCACAAAAATTATGTTAGGTGAAGGAAGCCAGACACAAAGTAATATTTGTGGTACAATTCTATTTAAATGACGTCCAATAACAAGCCAAAATAAACCATAAAGAAAGCACAAAATGAATGCTTTGCGGATGGGTGATGGGAAAATTTACTGGAAAGAGGCAGGAGGAAACTTTCTGGGGTAAAAGAAATATTCTGTATCTTTTTTTCAGGTGTGGATACACAAGTATATGCATTTGTCAAAACTCATTGAGCTCAACACTTAAGGTTTTATGCATTTCATCTTATGTTAATCATACTTCAATTCTTTAAAAAATTGATTCTTTAAAAAAGGGCCATTATAAGTTCTAACTCAAGGCCTATGTGGGGAGAAGCTGTGAAGAAAGCTGGGAGTCAGGGCAGCTGCTCTGCTGTAGATAACTGCCCAGGCAGGGGATGGTTCTTCTGTGATGCCCCCAAGGACACCCTTCAATTCTGGAGGCGTGGCATTGGGTCTGGGCACTTAGCATGCCTTACACACCCATATTAAGTCTAATAGCTCTTGCAAGAATAAAAACCTGTGCCTGAAACATAATCCTATCAATCTAATTAGTGGAATTCTCATTTTCTTCACATGGTATGTATAATACTGGTCTCTACACTTTTTAAAAAGTTAAAAAAATTGAATATGTAGAGAAGTTAGACCAAAATTATATAAGAGTAAGTCCTTTGTATTTTTAGAGAAGAAATTCCCCAAAAATGGATTATTCCCATTTCCAGATGTCATGAGCCAGTCAAAAATTTTTATACACTATCTTGAAATACTCTATTCACCAGGCTTATCAATAGTATTGTCTGAAATGTAATGAGAAAAAGAGAGCAGGGTTCTGTAGCTTAGCGATGACCAAGTGGTCATGTGTCAAAGGAATACCTCCTTTATGGTACAAACATATGAAAAGTTATATATACCTAGAGTAAGGGCGATAAGCACAAATAAGTCTTCGGAGTCATATGATAGTCATTTACTAATAATAGGAATACCAAAAGCTGATCCAAAGAAACAGCATTTGCACGGAGCTAATTGATCCTGAGATCCCGAGAGTGGCTCAGATTTCCCCCAGATACTTCTGTAGTCTCACAGCATGTTCTTACAATGTCCTTGGAAGTCAGAAAAGAAATGTGTCGTTTCCTTCAGTACACACAGCAGTGTCTGCTCCTCAGTTACAACATTATTTTTATGCAAGAGTAATTTCTATGCCTTCATTTTATAAATACATGCAGGTTAAAATTTTTCCATTTGATTTAAATTATTCACATTGCTTTATATAGCATGTGTAAACTCTCCCGAAGAAAATGGTGTATTAGATTTGGTTTCCACATTTCTTTTGCTCCAAGCTGGACACATTCATTAATATGAGTGCTACCCATTATTGCTTATACACGGGGTCAGGACAAAATTACTAGGGGTCAAATTCTGTTACAGTTAAAAGAAATGATTTGGGCCCTCTGCTGTATTTTATCTTTACATTACAATGTGAACAGTATTGCCCCAGGAAATGTCATTTTCCCTTTGAAATGAAATCTGCTTTGCAGCTCAACTTCCAGTTGCCAGGAGTGGCAGCATTTAAAAAATAAAAAGATTCTATTTCAGCACAATTCAACATCAGAGGATGGAAAGAGAAAGTGCAGACCTTTGAAAATCTGTTTAGCCTTTGCATTATTTTGTTAAAATGATAGACTTTGCCCCCTTTAAGGGACTGAGCCCGAATACTGAGAATTGTAAAGCAAAATCACTAGGCCATACCTAAGGGAAGCTGGCATTTGGTTAAACACAACAAATGAACAAGTGCCAAAGAGTTACATTTAAGGGCACCAGCAGTCATTTAGTTACAGGCAATTAACAATAGTCCTTGGAAAGCTCCAGTATGGGCTAAGGGAAAACACATTGATTATTGCTGCAGTAGTAGACTGCTTTGGGAATAAATTGCTTCAATTTGAAACTAGATTTGCTACAAGCATTTTGAGCAATGACTACAATTTTTTCTTATCAAGACAGTTGGACCAAGCAGCCCTTTAAAAGAAACAGCTAATTAAAATAAAGCGCATGCCATCTCTTAGTATATTGGATTACATTGCAAATAATAAATGCATTTGGTGTACACTAATCTTGCTGCAATTACCTAGTATAGTTTGGGATCCTATTTATTTTATTGGCTCGTACCTGGCGTTATTGTGTGCAAACTTT